CCAAGCGTGTCATAAACTAGAGACCGTGCCCAAAGCTGCTGCTTATGTATGGGAAACAGACCATATCCCTAAAGCAGCTACTCAGTAGATCCCACCATGGAGTTCATTGACAGCCTTATCACGGGGAATAACTACCACCAGCTGTCCAGCCACTCAACCAGGCCCAGCCAAGTTGACACACAACCTTAACTACTATATCTGTATATATATAGATAGATAGGAGCTCTGGTAGCGTAGTGCCTAAGGCACTTGACTGCTAACCAGAAGGCTGGTGGTTCAAACCCACTAGCCATTCCTCGGAAGGAAGATGGGGCAATCTACTTCCGTAGTGATACTGCCTTGGAAACCCAAGGAGGGGTCGCTATGAGTCAGGTCCAACTCGACGGCACATAACAAAAACAACATATGAAGTGGAGAGTGTACCCAAGAACATGTGTAGAATTGGCAGACAGTGGTCCAATAACTTTATGTGTATGATCTGAATTCCCAGGTGTATAATGGGGCTGACAAGGGGCAAGGTTGTAGTCACTGCTTAGTCACAGCCAGCTACCCAGAGGGACTGAGTAGTTGAACCTGTGGGCTCAGGACCATAGTCGCAGAGGACATCAAGCTCAATTGGCATAACATACTACACAAAACTTTGTTCCACTTCCTACTGTGGCGAGTAGCGACTGGGATCTTAAAAGCTTGCAAAATGCCATCTAGATACAACAATGGGTCTCTCCTTGTCCAGAGCCAAGAAGAATAAAGAAAACCAAACATTCATGGAAACGATTAGTCCTAGCGACTGGTACACCATCCAATCTGCAGCCTATATGACTATGAGACCAGAAGAACTAGATGGTGCCCGGCTACTACTGTCAACCACTTGGAAGAAGATCTTTGTAGGAGGTCCTGGATAAATGGGGAGAACAATGTGGAACAAAACTAAAAATCATTTGGGAAAAGAAAAAAAAAAAAAAAAAAGCGGAGAACAGGTTTGCTGCTCGATAGAACCTGGTGGAACCACTGAGACTGTGGCCCCTAGCTGCCCTTCAGGTCTGGAATTGAATGCACATCTGTGGCCTCCAGCCAAACAATAGACAGGCATATGAGTTAAACATTTACCTCAAGTAGATACACTCCTTGGAGAGAACAAGCATGAGAGAAAGAAGGGCTCCTTATGCACAGGGAGACACCTCAGGAGTGCATGGAGTGATGGACACAGGGAGGAGGTGGCTGTCGGGAGGAAGTGGGAGGGGAGATGTTGCATTGTGGTGTATTGTGGTCAATGTCATGAGACAAAGTGTATGTGAACTGCTGTATGGAAAATGTATTTGCTCTGTGAATTATCAACCAAATCACAATAAAAAGAAAAAGAAAAAAAAAAAGTTCCTGCCGGCCCAAATGGTGGTGGGAGCAAGGCATCTGGTTCCAGAAGGAATTCCTGCCTGCTCAGAATGTGACTGGGGATAGGTATCTGGTCTCAGAAGAAGTTCCTGCTGTCCCAGTGGGCAGCAGGGTACAGGGCCTCTACTCCCAGAAGAGTTGTGCCATCTCCAAAGGGGGGTTTGGTGTAGGGCACCTGGACCCAGCAAAAGTCCCTGCCAGCCCAAAATGCTGATAGGAGCAAGGTGGCTGATCTCAGAGCTAGTTCTTATTTACTCAGGAGGGCAACTGGGGGCAGGGCACTTGATTTCAGACTAGTTTCTGCTGATCCAGACAGTGCCTGTGGGCAGAGCTCCTGGACCCAAAAAAAGTTTCTGCCAGTTCAAAAGGTGATTGGGAACAAGGTACCTGGTTCCAGAGGGAGTTCCAGTCAGCTCAAAAAGCAGCTGTGGGCAGGGCTTATAGATTAGATAAAATTCTTGCTGTCTCAAAAGGTAACTGAGAACAAGGTCCCATTCCCAGAAAAAAAGTTCCTGCCATCTCAAAAGCCAGCTGGATGTAGGATATATGGCCTCAGAAAAAAATTCCTACTGGTCTAAAAGGTGGCTGGGAACAGAGCACCTAGTCCTGAGACCAGTTCCTGCCTGCCCAGAAGGCAGCTGATTGCAGGGTATCCAGACCTCAATGGAATTCCTGCCAGTCCAGAAGGTGGGTAGAGGTGGCAAATGGCCAAACCTCCATTCACCAAGAGAGTGTAAGGTACAAGGGTAACAGGAGAATTATTACACCTTTTTAGTCATCAGCCTCTAGTCCGCTTGCCCATGCTGTCCTCAGCAAGCAGAGGCCATTCTTAGGTTGCTACCCAGATTGGAATGCCACTTGGAATTATTCAAAATGGCCATGTCACTTGCAAATATTCAAAATGGCTGCACCATCAGGACTGCCAATAGTTGACAGCTCTGTTTGTCTTCTTTTTCACTGTTTTACTTTCTAGTCATCAGCCACTGGTGCAATTGCCCATGCAGTCCTCGGCAAGCAGAGCCATTCGTAGGTTGCTGCCTGGATCAGAATGCCACTTATAAATATTCAACTTGTCTGTCCTATCAGGACAGCCAACAGTCCATAGCTCTGTTTGTCTCCTTATTCACTGTTTTCATTCAGATTCTTCTACTAGTTGGTATTTAATCCACTTTTTTATCCTTCCCTTCAAAGCTAAGGGTTCCAGCATTATCTGTTTCTGTTTCAATTGGTTTCTCGTTTGTTGTAGAGGGTCTGTATAGCTTGTCTACCTATTTTGGCATCATGTCAGAAGTCCAATGGTGATTCTTTGAGGGTAAACCTGGCAAAAACCCAGGTCCTGAGAGGACACTAAGGAGCTCTGGTGGTGCAGTGCCTAAGGCATTTGACTGCTAACCAGAAGGTTAGTGGTTCAAACCCACTAGCCACTCTGCAGAAGGAAGATGGGACAACCTACTTCCATAAAGATATACTGCCTTGGAAACTCAGTGGGGATCGCTATGAGTCAGAATCTACTTGATGGCATTGAGTTGGGTTTGTTTTTTTGGGGGGAGGACACTGTGCCAAAAATGTGACAGGAGTACAGAGGGAACACCTTTGGAGCACCAGTGGGGTGCAAAAGGGCTTTACTTTGTTGGCCCACATCTCGCAGTCCTCTCAGCCCCACTTCCCATCACTCCCTCTCAGCCTTTCCTAGTCTTCTGCCACCTCCAGTCTCCTGTTTAGGTCTCTCCGCTTCCCTCTTTTTTTACTCAGCATAACCCTCAAGAACTCAAAAGATCAGAACTCCCTACATTAGCACTGGAAAAACTGATCTGAGATCTTCACTTCTGAAGAAGAGAGGATATAATAGCTCTAACCTTAGGTATATCAGAGCTGTTTGTTGCCTAGATTCAGAAACCCAACTCAAGCTGAGAAAAGCAAAAAGATACTTTTGTGGCTCACACAACTTACTGAATGGTCCATTGTGGCTTCAGGCTCAGCTGGCTCTGGGCTTTGTCAGGTCTCTGTCTCTGTCTCTGCCTTCCTACTTGTTGCTTCATCCTCCAGGCTGTCCCCACAAGGAGGTACAAACGGCACCACCAGCTGTCAGATAATATTTCTGCTAGATTAGCAGCCCTGGTGGAAAGGGCCACCCTTCCTGATAGTTCCAACCAAGGCTTGGTGGCTCAGGCACTGTGAATGGTGGACCAGGCCTGCTCACGTGCCTATCCTTGGAGCCCGGTTTTGGGTGGAGTGAGGAGAGGATCTCCCAAAAGAAAGTCATGTCACTGGATGCTGGTGGGGACAAAAAAAAAAAAAAAGTTTGCATAGAGTGGAAGAAAAATGTAGAACAAAACTCAAAATCATAAAAAAGACCAAGCTTACTGGTCTTATGTAGACTAGTGGAACTCCTGAGGCTATGGTACTTAGTCACCCTTGAACCCTGAAAATGAAATCACTCCCATGGCTCAACTTTCAGCAAAAGTATAGCAGGCCTGTAAGGTGAACAGTAATACCAGAGAGGAGAGCACTCCTTAGAATAATCAACCATAGGAGATCAAAAGGGCAGCATTTGCCTAGGGACAAAGTTCAGAAAGCAGGAAGGGATGGGAAAGAAGGACAAAGGGAAATGGTAAACACAAGAATTGGGAAGAATGCTGTTACATTGTGGGGACTGCAATCAATGTTACAAAACATACAGAAACAGTTGAACTGAAAGCCAGTTTGCTTGTAAACTTTCACCCAAGTCACAATTTAAAAAACAAAACAAAACACATAAAGCCAAGTTGGGTCTCACCAGGCCAGGTCACCCACCTTTTACTTATCTAAATGGGCTGAATGATTTTAATGCTGCAGAGAAAAGCCAAAGACCTATTAAAAAGTGGTTGAATATTCATGTACCTATATATATAGGAAAAAAAAAACCCAGTTATATCGGAGTAGAACTGTGCTCCATAGGGTTTTCAAGAGCTTATTTTTCGGAAGTATATGTCCAGGCTTTTCTTTCAATGTACCTCTGAGAGGACTAGAACCACCAACCTTTTGGTTAGCAGTTGAGTGCGTTAGCTATTTGTGTCTTTTATATATTCCTAGATATATGTGTGTAACATAGTGGCTAAGACACTTGCCTGCTAACCAGAGGGCTGGCGGTTCAAACCCACCAGCCACTCCTCGGAAGGAAGGTTGGGCAATCCTACTTCCGTAGTGATACTGCCTCGGAAACCCAAGGAGGGGTCGCTATGAGTCGGGTTTGACTCGACGGCACATAACAACAACAACAACAGATATATGTGTGTGTATATGTGTGTATATAGATATATGTGTGTGTGTGTATATATATATATATATATATCAAAAAACAAAGCACTAATACGCTAACCTATGAAATTACCATTGATTTCAATTTTGTTCTTTTTACTTATGTTTTCACTTTCCCATCATGGATGTTTTACTACTTTATGTAATAAGTGATAGCTGCTCTAAACTAAAAGAAGAGACCCTTTGCTGGGGTCCAAAAGTGGAGGAGTGGCTCTCTGTGCATGTCCTGCTCTGCGCACAAGCACCTTGGCTTTTTGCCCACTTTCTTCTCAGATGGTTGCACTCTCTCAGTTTTTCTTCCTCCTCTCTCACAGGCAGCTTCGAAGCCAACTCAGCCTCTTGGTCATTGCCCAACTGCTAGGCCAGCAAGAGACACTCCCTCTCTGGGAAGAGAAGAGCCAGGTAAGTCTTGGCCTTCAACCAGCTGGCTGGCATGCCAGGTGGGCAAACGGTGATCCCCATGGCCTGCTTGCTCCTGATGCTTTTCCCAAAGCTTAGTAGCCTCAGACCAAGAGAGCAAGGCTGTGTTTGGTTTGTTACTCGTAGTCCTCTATTCAACAAATATTTTTTGCGTGTACTACGTGCTGGGCTCCAAGGATGGAGCAGTGAGCTGGAAGCACTGATTACTTTTTATAGGTAGAAAAACAATAATTAAAAAAAAAACTTATTAAATTAAAACTGCACACTCCTGGTGTCCCTTCTGCCCCAGGGATAGACATTCTTTGGTCAGCAAGGGCATTGGAGTTCCCTTTCCCATTCCTCTTCTTTCCAAGAAGCTTTAACTACAGCCTCCTTGCAGCTGAGAGAACGTCACTTCAGTGGCCCTGGGGGTAGCACAGGTCACTATCAGCACAGAATGGATGTCAGGCAGATTGAGAATGCTCTCAGCTTCCCAGGAATCTCCCTGGGATCCCAGAGGAGTTGCTGGGTGAAACTGAATCCTGAAGCAAGCGCAGCAACACCAGAAGAGCAAGGCACTCTAAGGCCAGAGGTCATGCATCTCTTGTCCCTGGAGGGGTCCAAGCAGAGCCTACGAACCCCCTGCCCAGGGTGCTGGGGGAGGGTTCTAGCACCATTCTGGGGAGAGGTGGGCATACTGGCTGAGTCTGAGATGCTATGACTACATGGAACAGAGAAGGACCTCAGAAAGATGACCAGTTGAGTTGGGCTGTCAGCGTGAGCTCAGCTTGCCTTTTGCCCTGGCTGCCACCCTTGCCTTGAATGCTTTTCCCCAGGACATAGCATGGCTGGAGCTTCTTGTCACTCAGATTGCAGCTAAAATGTCACCTCTTCAAGGAGAGGCCTTACCTGACCTCCTGTTAACTATCACCCTTGTTTCAAATTTTTTGTGGCTTTCACCTCCTGATGTTTTCTTATTTGTTTAATGTCTGTGTTCCACTCCTGTCCAGTTGTCAGTAGAACACTCTTTAAGAACAGGGACCCAGTCTTTTCTGTTCACCACTGACCCTGGGCACCTAGCACAGTGCCTGGAGCATGCTGGGTACTTAGTACACATTTGTGAGGTGAATGAACACCGAGGGCAAGTTGTCGGTGTGCTTAGGGAGAATGTACCCAAGGCCAACTCAAGGACAGAGGCCTTGGGAGGGGCTGGTGAGGAAGTGACATACACAAAGGTTACTTGACAGCAGAGTATTTCTGGGATAAAGAGAGAATGGAGGGACCAAGTCATGTCATGAGGTGAGCCAGCAGGAGAAGGTAAGGGGCAGGCAGAAACGCAGAGAAGGGAGAAGACAAGAGACTAGTGGGCAGTTGGAATATCAGGAAGGCAGCCTGAGAGAGAGGGATTGGCATTAGCTAGAGGCAGCGACTGAGCCCTGAAGAGAGCAAAGCACAGTGTCAGCAGGTGGTGGGGGGAGGGGAGGCCAGAGTGTCAAGGTAGGAAAAAAGGAAGATTGGAAACAGTGGGGTAGGTAGGGGTAACACACACTGATGAAGCAGTGACCAGAAAGACAAGGTTGCTTGGAATGTCAGGGTCAGCTTAAGGTTTGGGATTTTGTTTTGATTTTTTTTCCCCCCTTGGCCAGAGCCTGCACATAGGAGAGTGAGGGAAGCCTGGGGCCTGTGTTCCTGGTGGAGGCCAGAGAGTGGCAAAGGGAAAGATTATGGAGGAAGAACTGGGTCGCTTGGGCCTGGAGGGGAGCCGATAGGAAGGTGATTGGAAAAGGATGCTTTGGGGTGGTGATACCTCTACCAGAGAGCTGATCCCAGAAGCTCTCAGTCACGCCAAAGGAAGTGACAGGGGGCTGTTGGGCACACGCTCAAGTGGCAGTCTAGGCATGACTGGGCTGGACTGAACAGCCAGGCAGTGGGGAGCCAGGTCTAACCCTGCCTTTCTCATCCTCAGTTCCAGGGCTTTTCCATGACACGAGTCTATCTGTCTGTGTCTGCCTGTGTGTACCTGCGCCCGGTTGTGAACTAGGTGCTGGGAAGCAGCTGTGAGGAGGCACTATTCACTGGCTAGACAGAGCCTAAACAATGCTCAAAAGAGAGGGTGTGGGGAGTGAGCCAGGCTGAGTGGTTGACTGCCGAGGGCAAGGAAATGCCTCCTAGAGAAGCTGAGTGGGTGCTTGTACAGCAAAGAGAAGAGAAAGGATTTCCAGGCAGAAGATACAGAATGTGCAAAGTCGTGACAAATATGTGGCAGCGGAGAATGAGGGAAGGACTGAAATGGACCTGCCCCTGGCCTTGAAGATGCATTTCCAAAGTGCCCCTTCCCCTACCTCCACTGCAGGCCCAGCCCAGACCCTCCTTGCCTAGAGCCCAGGGCTATCCCCAACCTCATCCAGGTGTCTGGCTTCCAGCCACTCCTCTTTCCAGTCAGTCCTGTCTGGTGGTTCATCCTAAAACACACTTTCAAGGGGCCCGCCCTCATTCCCACAGCCCCACCCACATAAATCCACTTGCCCCCCTGTCCCAACTTCTCAGCACAGCTGACCCCAGCCCTCCCTGCTTTTCTCTGCCCTCCCCTTCCTTCTGCACAGTTTTGACTGTGAGGTGGCCCCTGACTGAAACAGGCCCCTTCTTCCTTTCCACTTGTCATGTGCTCCCCATTGTTTTTTGTTGCTAAGTGCCATCAGCTCCAACTCATAGTGACCCTGTGTACAACAGAACAAAACACTGCCTGGTCCTGCATCATCCTCACAATCTCTGCCACACTTGAGCCCATCATCACAGTCACTGTGTCAATCCATCTCCTTGAGGGTCTTCCCCTTTTTTGCTGACCCTCTACTGAACATGATATCTTTCAAGGAACTGGTCCCTTCTGACCACATGAGCAAAGTATGAGAGACAAAGTCTGGCAATTCTTGCTTCTAAGAAGCATTCTGGCTGCACTTCTTCCAAGACAGATTTGTTCCTTCTTCTGGCAGTCCATGGTATTTTCAGTATTCTTTGCCAACACCACAATTCAAATGCATCAATTCTTCAATCTCCCTTATTCATTGAGCAGCGTTCACGTGCCTATGAGGTTATTGAAAATACCATGGCTTGGGTTACGTGCACCTTAGTCTTCAAAGTGACATCTTTGCTCTTTAACACTTTAAAGTGGTCTTTTGCAGATTTGCCCAGTGCAATACATCGTCTGATTTCTTGACTGCTACTTTCATGAGTGTTAATCATGGATCCAAGTAAAATGAAATCCCTGACAACTTCAATCTTTTCTCCATTTATCATGATGTTGCTTATTGATCCAGTTGTGATAGCTAATAGTCCACATCGCTCATACTCTAGCTATTGTGTTGCTGTGTTGAGAACAGACTACTGGAGGTGGGGAGGAAGTCGGGAGACCAGCTAGGAGGTGATTACAATAATCCTAGTGAGAGATGATGGCAGTTTGGCCTGGGGAGAGGGCAGTAGCTGGTGAGAAATGGTCAGATTCTGGGTAGATTTCCGAAGTACAGCCAGCAGGATGTGGGAAGTGGGAGGAAAGAGACAAGAAGGACTCCAAGGTCTGTGGAGCTGGTAGGGTGGAGATAACCTTTACTGAGATTGGCAAGACACAAGTGGAACAGGCTTAGGGAGGAAATCAGGGGTTTGTTCCTGGACATCCTTATCCCAGCTCACCTCTTGCAATACAGGCAAACCTCATGACAGACCATGTCTTCCAGTTTGGGGTTGGGAAAACATGGGCTGCAAATGGCCAAAATTAAGGGAGATAAGGCTTCACATCTACTAACGAAAGGTTAGATGAGTCTCAAGTTGCTGTTGATTTATTTGTTCATTCATTCATTCACTTGACCAATTTGACAAATATTGCTTAAACATATACTGCCTGCCAGTGCTGTGCTAGGCTCAGGATATTAGAAATCAAAACTCTCCACACTTTATCAAAGGAGGGGGGAACAGATAATAAATAATACACATAATAAACAAGTAAATTGCATAGTATGTTAGAAGGCACACACAAGAAAGTAGAGTCGGGTGAGGGAACTGGCAAGTAAGGGGTGGTGTAGGGGCAGGGGTTGAGCTGGGGCTGCCCCCCTGAGAAGGTGGGACTGCAGCAAAGGTGGAGAGAAGAGGGGAGTGGCTTTGCAGTATCTGGTCAGAAGAGCTAGTCAGGGCTAAGGTTCCAGGGAGCAGGAGCAAGGTCATTGTGGCTGGGATGGAGAGTGCAAGGGTACAGTAGAAGATTAGAGTTCCCAGAGGTAAAGCGGCCAGAACATTCAGGGTCTTGCAGACACATGAAACCTGTGCTTTTTCCTCTGGCTGAATCGGCCCCTCTGCCAGCTTCAAGCATAGGTGTGATGTGCTAAGTAAACAGTTACCCCACTGGAATCAGTTCTTCCTCTTGCGAACTGACCAGTCTGTGAAGGCTAGAGGAGGACCTCTTGGGTGATCACTTGCTTCTCGCCTGGAGGCATCTGCCCTAAGTAACAGGAAGTGTTTGCAAAGACACCTCCCAGTGGTGGGGGTGGGGAGGGCACTGGTCAGGCTCCCGCCCCACTAGGACGCACAGGGCCCAAACAAGCCCTGCTCCCAAAAAAGGGTTGTGTCTGCAGGAGAGGGACTGGCTCTGGCTGCCCAAAGCTGGAAGCAAAAGAAAATAAGCAATCAGAAGGCAGCACGGCAAATGATGGAGGGAGAGACTGCCTGCTGCTCTGGGCAGATTGAAGCTGTTTTCATGGATTGAAGGGAAAATACAGGAGCAAGGCAGCTGCTGTCACTGTGCTCCTAAAGGCCCCACCCAGAGCTCCCACAGCAGGGCGGTCCGAGGCCAGCAGCTGGGGGCGCGGCTGCCTGGAGGGCCTGCTCCAAGAAGCGGGCTGCAGAGCCTGGCCCTCATGCTTGCACAGCTGTGAGCCCTGAATGGGCAAGGCTGTTTTGGAAACTACTCCCCAAACTTCCAAGGCCTGAGCAAGGTGGGCAGAGCTATGGTTTTTTAGTGAAGCTCCAGACCGTGCCTCTTTGCAGCCCGGAACCTTCCCTCTCTCTCCCCTACCTCCTCCTCTCCTCCCCTTCGAAGGGAGCAGACACTGGCCTGAGAAGCCCTGGCCCAATCCCAGATGCCTCAGGCCTGACTCCTAGCCCCCAGCCCAGCTGTTCTTGTGAGACCTGGGCTGTCTGAGCCTGCGGCAGCCACAGTGCTGAGCAGGTGTCTGTGATGAGTCACAGCAAGGAAGCCAGGTGTGCCAGGCAGGGCTGGGCTCCATCTGGGAGCCAGACTTGGGGGCTAGGGCCCCTAGCCCTTTTGGCCAGCCCCCCACCTATCAGATCTAAAGATGCCTTTGTGAACTGCCCTGGCTCTGCTCCTTCACTCCTGCTTCTCTGTCCCCCCAACCCCCACCCAGGGTTGCAAGTGGCCTCAGAGGAGCAAGGCACTCAGAGCCTGCCTTTCTCCCCCACCCCCACCCCAGCCAGGAGTGAACTCCAAGGCAGCTGGACAGTCCTTGCAGGGGCTAGGCCTAGGCTGAGGCTGTCCAAACCAGGCATAAGGGTGGGGCCGGAAGGAATAGCAGGCTGCAGACATCTGGATTTATGAGACAACACTCTCTCCCAAGGGGTTCACAGCCCATTTGTTCAGAGAGGGTGGATGGTTTCTCCAAAAAATAAACAGGAGTGCGAGTGGTAGTGGAGAAAATTGTGGATAGACTAAGTGACATTTCCACTGTCTAGTTATCAAGTTGGGAGCTCTGGTGGTGTAGTGCCTAAGGCACTGACTGCTACCGAAGGCTGGAGGTTCAAATCCACCAGCCACTCCTCAGAAGGAAGATTGGGCAATCTATTTCCACAGTGATACTGTCTTGGAAAACTAAGGAGGGGTCACTATGAGTCGGGTCTGACTCGAGGGCACATAACAACAGTTATCTAGTGCTGCTATAACAGAAATACCATAAGTGGATGGCTTTAACAATGACAAATTTATTCTTTCCTAGTTTTAGGAGGCTAGAAGTCCCAATTCATGAAGCCGCTAGGGGAAAGCTTTCTCTCTCTGTTGGCTCTGGGGGAAAGTCCTTGTCTCTTTTAGCTTCTGTTTCCTGGTTCTCCATGCAGCTTGGCATCAATCTTCTTCCATCTCTGCTTGCTTAATCTGCTCATTTTATATCTTGTAAGAGGTTGACTCAAGACACACCCTATAGTAATCCTGTCTCATTAACATAACCAAAACAACCCATTCCCACAGGCATAGAGGTTAGAAGTTACAACACATATTTGAGAGACACAATTCAGTCCATAACATCCACTAAATGCAATGTGTGCACCTTATGGGGAATCCTCATTCAAATAAACAGCCTGTAAAATTGTATTTTTCAGACAATCAGTGAAAACTGAACCACAGGTATTAGGTGATACCAAGGGATTCTTTGTAATTTTGTTGGGCATGATAATGGGTATTGCAGTTGTATTGGGGGGGGGGGAATCCTTATCTTCTTCTGTTAGAAATTCCTTATGGGTAAAATGATATGATGTTTGTTTGGATTTGCTTTCAAATACTCCAGAAGAAAAACTGAGTGAAAAGCAGGGTGGTGAAGGGGGCAGGAGAGAGATGAAACAGGAAAGGAGGAATGATGGGCATTCTCTCTTCTTTCCTGTATGTTTAAAATTCCCACGATAACACATTAAATGAAAAGGTAGAGGTGAAAGGAGAGCAGGTCAGCAGATGAAGAACAGCCCAGGGTGGGAAGGGTCTTGCCTGATGGCAGAGGAGACTTTGTTTCCTGGTTTTGGTTCTTCTAAACCATGAGTGTCTGTTTACTCCTGGGGAGTGAATCAGGCATTGAGTTGATGGAGAGCATCATAGTTCACCTCTTTAAGGGCATGCCAGGCACTCTGCGCCCCACTGTGTGTGTGTGTGTGTGTGTGTGTCTCCTGTCCTGGCAAGAAGGTGTCTTGGTCGTCTCCATTCTTCAGATGAGAACATTCAGGTTATGACAGGTTAATTAATAGCTGACTCTTAATGGCAAGATGGCTCTAGGTGTTGGAAGCCAGCAGTCTGGCTGCAGAGCCTGCACTCTGACCCACTGTTGCCAGCAGAGGTGTCCAGACCAAGAGTCCCCGAGTGCCCTGAGAGCTTGCTGCTGCCCTCTGTGAGTGATGCCTCCCTTCTCCCCAGCTGTCTTCACTCAGCCAGCTCCTGAGCCTCATGAGGCCGTCATCCCTTGGGCAATACTTGAGCTCCAGCTTTGGGACCTTGCCACCCTGTCAGGAGCAACAGCCAAAGGCCAGTACCGAGCTGGACCACAAGGTGAGCACCCAGCAAATGCCCACCTCTGCCAGAGCACTGTCCCTCAAGTAGCGGAGGACAGCAGGGCTGTCCAGTTTGCACGGCGTTCAGGTCCTCACTGTGCCAGTCCTCCAAACACCCTGGGGCCACAAAGGGCAGATACCAACAAGCTGCCTCCTCTCTGTTTCAAGGAGGTGCTCATTATCTCCCATAGCCTATAATTAGCCCATGCCCACACCCCTCACAGAGGCACAGTGAGGTGCTGGGTGCAAAGGCGTGCAGATCACATGTGTGCCTGATCCTTCTATGCTGTTTTACTGTATCCTTTATAGCCTAATGTGGCTTTGTTTGCTTTGGGTTCTCAGTTAGACTTACAGTTTGGAGAGGATGCAGGAGCTCCATGCTGGTGTGGGTGTAGGATAGGGATGTTAAAGGAGAAGTGCAAGGACATGTCTCGATGTGAGATGCACATTTTCATAGGGCAGAGCTGGATGTGACTGCCTTATTGTTTTCCACTGTGGTTGTCACTGAGACGAGTCCTTGGCCTTTCCCCAGGTCTTCCTAATTGACTTTCCAGGCATTGCTTAGCTTCCCTGAAAGTCATGCTTTGGTAGGAGTCAGGGGTAACAAGATGCCCCAGAACCTGGGGATTGTAGGGCTTGAAATGGTGAGGCCTGTGGGTCCCTGGCATGACTGTCAAAGCAGGGATGGTTGCCTGGGAGGGCTTCAGAGTAGTAGCCCTAAACCTACATCTATGAGGAATGGATCTCCATGAGTTCTCCTATCCCCTGGGACTGGGGGGAGGGAGGGGGGATGAAGAATGAAGATAAGTATCTTCCTAATTTAGGAAGGTGTTCCAAAGGCTCACTCAGAGGTCGAGTGCTGATGATCTAGAAGTCCAACCTTTGGGCATCATTCTGCAAATCAGATAAACAAATTAATTACTTAATGAACACAAATTAACCACTGAGAAGATATGATAATCCCCAGGTGTGTAGTCCTCTTCTGAAACATGTAGAGAAGGTTGTCTTTCAGTTGTGCCTAATATTAGTGCATTTACGAGGCTGCTGCCTCCCAGGGGAGTGTGAGCTGTCTGCGTGCTCCCTTCTCTTTTGCCAAGTATTTCCCAGGAAACCAGAGCCAGTTATGGAGCCTGAGTCCAGTGTATCCAGGCCTCTACAAAGGAAGTGGGGGTACTCTCCTGGGGAGGTGTGTGGCTAAGGGAAGCTGCTAGTCTGTCTGAGGAAGGCACAGGGGGACAGGTCCTGGCTTGGGCAAGGGAGAGGGGAAAATGGGAGAGGAAGAAGGGGAGTGGTAGGAAAGAAAAGAAGAGGCTCATGCCTGACCAAGCAAGGAATGTGACATCCAGGTACCTTGGGGCCATAGCTGTGACCCTACCTAGTAGAGGTGTTGTTACTGCCAGACCAGAAGTTCATTTGTTTCAATACCCATCTGATGACAGATGGGAAAAGAGTGGAATAAATGGGCGAGGGTATCTTTTATTTTGAGAACTGTTCTCACATGTGTGAAACCTACCCACTGCCATCACATTGATTCCAACTCATAGGGATCCTATGGGACAGAGTACAGTTGCCCCATAGGGTTTCCAAGGCCGTAAATCCTTATGGAAGTAGATTGCCTCATATTTCTCCTGTGAAGCAGCTAGTGAGTTCTAACCACCGACCTTTTGGTTAGCAGCCTGATGCCTTAACCACTGTACCATCAGAGCACCTTCACAAGCTGTAAAAAGCCTTCCCTAGTCAACTGTCATAGGAGCTCTGGTAGCGTAGTGCCTAAGACTTGACTGCTAACTAGAAGGCTGGCGGTTCAAACCCACCAGCCACTCTTTGGAAGGAAGGTTGGGCAATCTACTTCCGTAGTGATACTGCCTCGGAAACCTAAGGAGGGGAGGGGTCGCTATGAGTTGGGTCTGACTCGACGGCACATAACAACAACAACAGTCAACTGCCATATATTAACCTATTTGGTCTGGAAACATAGAGGTAACTGTATGTCTTGGTTGTGGCTATTAGCTGCTTTCAAGTCGGCCCCAGACTCATGGTGACCCCATGCACAACAGAACCAAACACGGTCCAGTCCTGGCCATCCCTTTGATGGGTTGTAGATTGGACTGTTGTGAGGCATGGGTTTTCACTGGCTGACTTTGAGAAATAGATCAGCAGACCTTTCTTCCTAGTCTAACTTAGTCTGGAAGCTCCACTGAAACCTGTTCAGCATCATAGCAATGTACAGCCTCCGCTAGCAGACAGGTGGTGTGACTGTACAAGAGGTACGATGGTCAGGAATCAAACCAGAATCTCCTGGGTGGCAGGAGAGAATTCTAACACTGAACCACCAAGGCCAGTGGAGGGGACAAATGAGGTAGAGGCAACTCTCAGAGAACCTTGACTGCAGCCTAGACCAATAGCAGATGGAGGGAAAGGGCCCCTGGGGAACAGGGAGAGGGTAGAAGAGGGAGCTGGTGGGGTGCCTGAGTAGTCTCCTCAGAAGTAGCCAGGGACCTGAAAAGTTAGAAATGAGGCATGTTCTGCCCCTCTGGGCCAGGTGCTATTCTGACAGGGAGAGGCCTGGTGCAGGAGCAGGTGACTGGGATCCCTGCAGCCCAGCCCCCCTCCCACTACAAGCAGACTGACTCCTCATTAGGCCTGAGCATGTTTCATCTTCAAAGGTGATCAGGCTACTCACCAGCCAAAAAGGGAGGCCGGCGTCATCCACCCTGTTTTACAGGGAGTGGTGGTCTGGGCTTCTGCAGAGCCTTTTATCCCTAGAGCTCAAAGTCTCTGACTTCTTAATCCTTGAGATGCAGTGGGGAAACTGAGGCCAGTGAGGTCGGCCTAGGTGACCCAGCATGGAGGAAATGGCCGCTTTTCCCAACTCTTGGGCTGCTGTGCTGGGTTGCCTGCCTCTTGACGCGTGCCCATCCCCCAGGCCCTGCTCACTCGTCTGGGAGATTTCCGGCTCAGCTTGAGACTGTGAGGAGCACAGCCCTCCTCCAACCCTGCATGGCAAATAAACACTTCTGCCAGCCTCCTTTCCTTCTCGTCGCCCCACCTCCTCTCTTTGCCTAGGGCCTTGGCCAGGCTCCTTACTCCCCCGGGGAAGCTCCCAGCCTTCTACCCTCTTTCCTTCCCTTCCTCCTCCCAGGCGAGGGAAGCTGCTCCTAGGTACCTGGAACATTTCTTTCTCTATCACTGATCCCCAGCCTTCCCAATCCTCCATTGTCTTGTCTGTAACCCCAGCTAGCCTTGGAAACCCTATAGAGCAGTTCTACTCCATCTCCACTATGAGTCAGAATCGATTCAACAGCAGTGGGTTTTGAACCCCAGCTAGACTGTGAATTCAGACGTTGTCTCTCAGCTTTGTAATGTATATTTGGAACTTGATGACTGCTGAATGAGTGAAGAAATGAATGAATGAATTCAATTTTAGTCCCTCGCTGGGAGTCCTTGGGTTTTAAGCACTGCGGACAAAAGGTTGCTGGTTTGAACCTACCCACAGCTGCCTTTGGAAGACAGGCTTGGCTATCACAGCCTTGAAAACCCTGTGGAGCAGTTCAACTCCACACACAAGGGAGCACCATGAGTCAGGGTCCACTCCACAGCAACTCTCTCTGAACTATCATCCACCCTATTCTGGACTTCCACTCTCTTGACCAGAAACTTTCCCCTGTGTCCTACACCTGACCAATCCTTGTTACATTAAGGCCCTAAGGGTGTGTAGCCTGGGCTTCTCCAGTAAAATGCTCTACAGTACAGAAGGATTACCTGAGCTAGGTAGAGTCCTGCCTGGGAAAGCTAACCACCAACTATTTTAACAAAAGAAGCAACAAGCTCCTGCTACAACACTGCATTGGGTGAGGGGTGGGGGCGGGTAGTGGAGGGGGCTCCTGGACCTGGCTGATTGTCCTAGCCTAAAGTCAAAGTCACTTAGCAAATCATGGCAGTGCTTGTATGGTATTTAAGAATCCTATTTCTTAATGAGGAGCTCTGGTAGCATAGTGCCTAGGGCACTTGACTGCTCACCAGAAGGCTGGTGTTTCAAACCCACCAGCCACTCCTCGGAAGGAAGGTTGGGCAATCCTACTTCCGTAGTGATACTGCCTCGGAAACCCAAGGAGGGGTCGCTATGAGTCGGGGCCCACTCGATGGCAAACAAAAACAACAACAACAACATTTCTTAATGAGGGGTCCTGCTGATTAGAATACTTTTAGCATCTTAAAGTGCTTTTGAATAAGGAGAGGAATGTTTGATGAGCCTGTTGGTGGTGGTTATTGGTGACCTTGTTCTTGCCTGGTTTGAGCTGGGCTCTCAGAGAAGGGTAAACATCTGGGTCAGAGTGATCCTTGGGTGTCTGTTACATCCAGGGAGGGGCAGGTGCTCTGTTTAGCTTAGAGAAGTGGGAGAGGATGTTTTAATACAGGAGTGATCTCCAAGAGATGGCCTCCATATGCTTCCTCTTGGCCAATGGATAGCGATTCTGCAAGAGACCAGCACCTTCCCAGGCCTTGGTTTGTGGGCCTCTGTTCCTTTGGCCCGTGTGCAGACAAATGTTGCATAACTTGATTCAATTTATCACTGTCTCCTCAGAGCTACCAGCTCAGCTGTTCAACTCAGAACCATGCTTTTCCTGGAGCAATTTGTTTTCTTTTAGCTAACTTGTATAAACAGTATTTGGCCAGATTTTGATTAGTTGTGTTCTGTCCAATTTGAAGGAATCCCTGGGTGGTACAAATGGTTAATGTGCTTGATGGCTAACCAGGAGGTTGGGGGTTTGAGTCCACTTACAGGAGCCTTGGAAGAAAGACCTGGCGCTCTACTTCTAGAAAGCCAGCCATTGAAAACCCTATGGAGCACAGTTCTACTCTGACATATATGGGGTCGTCATCAGTCAGGATTGACTTAGTGGCAACTGAAATTGGGACTGGATCCAATCTGAGTCAGGCCTGTTCACTTTTATTGACATTACTTATATTTTGCTTACCATTGTAAATTATGTCTTT